GGAAAAAACCCTCAACAAATCACCCCACCTGCCTGAAGCCAGATCTCTCTAGATTGGAAGTACCACAAGGCTAGCTCACGCTCACCTGTATTTGAAACTGTTCCTTCTGTGGCACTGTCACTGCACCTCCTCTGGGACTACTGAACTCACTACTATTTTTGCTCTGGAACCCAGAAGTAGATCATTAGGTTTAAAAAGGTTAAAAAAACCAAACTATTTGCAAAAGTTTGAAACGCTGCTTTTTTAAGCAGTCAACGTTATCAAAACACTATTCCTAATAAGTCCTGAGCTTTTCAATACTTAAAAATGAAAAAAGCTTGAACTACAAGAACCTTCTCACTTAATTCAGACTTTCACTTTCTTAACATTATATATACAGAGCATAGGTTGTATCAATCTTGTGCAGATTCCCTAAAAGTAATAACAAAAATAAATTGCATTTAGGCTCACCACCTATCCTTTCCTGGTAGTCATTAGCAGGACAATCTTCTGTTGGCTCTCACAGATGACCAGCTGTCAGACTTCAGCAAGAAGACCACAAATTGAGACCACTGAGCTTCATAAGCCTCAGGCTTCCTAGACCCATTTTCTTTGTTTGAATCAATACTGGCACGCTTGAGTACATTCATCAAATTAAGAGAACAAAAAAAACCAACCCAACAAAAGTAACCTCACAAGTGACAAACCTTACTTTTTAGGGACATTTATTTCGAGAGAGTCTCATTGACATGACCACCACCAGCGGATCCTCTAAGAAAGCAAGGCAACCTGCAGCATTCCAAAAGGACACTTCTCAGTGATGCTTGAGATGGGAGGACCACCCTGAACCTGCCACACAGCATCCAGAGGAGAGAAGGAGCTTGCATTTTTATGAATGCCAATGGAAATTCTTTTAAGGCATTTTCACTCTTTCAGTCCTGCTACAGAGACTATTAAAATATTCCTATTCCCTGCTTCATAAAGCTCCACACAGCTGTCTTTAATTTGCGTTGCTACTATTAGCATTCCCTGGCACTACAACTGTCTCACACAAAGACACAAACAGCAACGATTCCAGCTCCAAAAAAGCCCCATGTGTTCTAAAAAGACATCAGACTGTGTGGGAGGAAGAGAGGTACAGTGAGGAGGGGAAATACCTTGCCTGAAGTCATAGAGGAGGACAGCGACAAGGACAGGAATGTTACTATTCATGGAGCAGGTCTAAACACAGGAGGTCCTCCATTGCTAGCCAGACAAGTTCAAGGCAGCTACTGAAAATTGCAGGAAGCGAAAGCATCACAATACTGCAACAGAGCTTTGGCTTTGTCATACAATTGTTAGGGAGGAGTCATGGGTTTTTTGTTTGGTTTTAATTTCTTTCCTCTAAGAGGGAAGGAAGGAGGGTTAGAGTGGGAAAAGAAGGCTGTAAGCTCCACCAGAACAAAATTCTGATTAATATTTTCAGACTGTTACAAATCTTGGCCATCGCAGGTGATGCAAGGTTTCCACAGGTGATGGTCATCTTGCCGTCCACTGAGACTCCCAGGTCCTTTTCCCCTCAGCTGCTCTCCAGCAGGTCAGCCCCCATCCTGTACTGATACATTGGGTTGTTCTTCCCCAGGTGCATTACCCTACACTTGCCCTTGTTGAATTTCATTAAGTTTCTCTCCACCCAGCCTTCCAGCCTGTCCAGGTCACGCTGAATCAAAAGCCTCACTCCATAGAGAAAAGTATCTGATTCTCTACCTGTAGCTTTATCCTTCAAAAGCCTCTGGATGTCAGGAGTATGATGCTATCTGCAAACCAATGGAGACTTCTTTTCCCCAACTATGCTTCATTTCTGGGTATGCTCTGAAAACAACTGAGGAAAAAAAAACCAGAACTTTTTTGGAGAAGAAAGAATTTTGCCATTTACCTATGGCTATGTCATCCCTAAATTAGACTACTTTAGTGCTATGTCTAGCAGAACCAGTCAATATGAAATGAGTTACTAAGTCTCATTATTAGATATCATATTCAAGTTCAGTTGGTCAAAGGTACCTCAACAGTCAACGGAGAGGAACAGGCAGTTTGAACAGGCAATTTGTCACGCTCTACAACAGAGAAGGTGGATCACCCTCTCGAGATAATAATCTTTTCCATTTACTGAAGATGGAGTGTAGACAACTACCTTAGCTTATTTTAAAATAGCTTAAGTGAAAGGAGATGAATGTCATCCTTAAATAGCTAACTCATCCTGCAGGGTCGCACCTTTGCTCTGTAAAATTCACTGCCTTCCCTTTCAACATGCTGCCCAACTTGTCTTCTGTTCATAAGATCAGCATAATTAGGTTTTTTTCAACTAACATTTGAACACAGCCAAACCACTCAAAAGCACCATTCTTTGCATTTATACAGGAGGGCTGAAGACATGGAGGTGAGAAAGGAGAGTCATTCATTTGCTTTCTCCAGGGCAGGAGGCAGTGTTGCCCAGTAGATTCATCAATGGGTGACATCTTTTAGGACATGTGCTCTATTGCTGGTGTTGGGTCAAGGTTATGCTCTCGAGTAGATCTTTTTGCTTCTCCACTTCAGCTTCATGTACTGCTTATGCAGTACACTTAAGAGGAATTACCTAAAATTTCTAAAAATACAGTTAATGGAGAAGCAGGGGCTATTTTAAAATTAGTTGTATGGCAGACACAGCATACGGTAGCAGAGCCGCAAATGAACAGCTGTACATACAAATTTTATGAGAGTTAGGCAGTACACATTGCCTTAAAGTACTTAACCAAGATTCAGAAAAAAAGCACATGAAGTCAGACTACTGCCATTTTCAGGGACCTTTTATAAGGTGCAAATTCTCTGTAAATGCAAACAAACAGAGTAGCAAAAGCCTACCATCTCCTTGGTGGTAATACCAAATTTTAGTACGGCCATGCACAGAAAACTTAGTGTTCCTCCCTTTTGTGTGATGTTGGTATACAGTGTACCTTGCTGCATTTCTCAATAAGAAATAAATAAATACTGCCATGAGTATTAACGGCTAATTTTAAGTGCCCATCAGTGCTGTCTATTGAGGATAATGCTTGGTGATCCAGAAAAGGTCTATTTTAATTCCATTTTTTGTTGAAGCCAAGGATGACCATCTGTGCTCCACATATTGCTGCTTTAGGTTCTGATGGACAGTCTCACTCACTCAAATCCTGGCATTTCTCATCAGCAGTAGAAAAGAGTTCAGCACATGGCATCACTTGATTTGACCTTCTGACACATGAGGAAACCAAGTAGTAAGGTGGATCCTCTGTACCAAGAGAAGTTTTTGCATATTACATTTTAAAATTAGCACATGAAAAGGAAGATTTACCACATAGACTTAAGTGACTCCCAAGTATTTACCAACCCCTATAAATGTAAAGCAGAACAGTTAACAAAACTGAATAAAAGCAGCCTCTCTCCACATTCTTTAGTTCAAGGTGTGGTGGTAAAGCACCGTGAAGTCATTCACTCACTGTCCCCCTCCCTGGTGGAGTCTGGGAGAGAATCAGAGGAGAAAGGTTGGAACACTCACGGGTTAAGATAAAAACAGTTTAAAATGACTGAAACAAACTAAACTAAACGATACAATAATACTACTACTACATTGTAATAATAGAAACAACAACATGACACAAAGTTATACTCAGCTCACACAGAAGTCACAAGCCATGTGTTCCCAGCAGTGGATAATAGAAAATATAACAAGCACTGCAAACACAACTCCAGTGAAAGCAGGGGAGTAGGAGGCCTTGGGAACAGAATGATGGGTGAAACCCTCCAGGAATGGTGACTGTTGAGGAAGGAGAAGACATCCCCAGTAAACTCCCCAGTTTATAGTGTGATGTTTGTGTTATGCAGTAATTCTGTTGGCCAGTGGGGTCAGCTGCTCTGAACACTCCTGGCTTCTGTTCCCCCAGGATTCTGCACCTGGCTACCCCTAAACTGCTCAAGACCTTGATCATTCCAGCAACCTACATACCAGAGCTGGCCGAAAACTAAAACAAAGTGTCTTACCAACTCTGTTTTCCATTACATTGAGTGCTGCAGTCTTCTCAGAAATGCAACTCTCCTGAATAGAAAACCGTTTCTATGATTCTATCCCAGCAAAACCAGGACACAAGGGAAAGCCTTTGCTCTTTTTTTCTAGCTCAAATGAAAATTCTTCCCTTTAATTGAACCTGCCTTACTGGATTCCCCTCCCACACTTCTAATGTGAGAAATCTCCGAATTCATTATCCCAGCCAATGATCCTAGTGGTGGTGTATCAGACCTTCCAGAAAGTGATCTTCCTCTTGGAGTTTATATATATACATGTCTCCAGTCAACAACATCCAGCCTTCAAGTAGCCTTGGGAAGGGAATAAAATCTGACATGCAGTTGGCTCTGTTGACAAAAATTTAACACATTCACCCATTTTTAATAAAAATCCACCCAACAGTAGCACTTGCTCATACCTCTGTCAGGCTTTTTAGATGAACAAAAATTACTTGCAATAAAACAGAGGTAAAATTTGCATTAGAACTGCTCATCTTCAATTATATATAAAAATACTCAGAAATCTTTTTATGAGGAAAAATGTTACAGTATTAAAAAAGTTACACTGACGTCGTATTTTCCACCACTGCCATACTTGCTCTCAATTTGCATCACTGAAAGAGGAAAAGATTGGAAAAAAAAGAGTAAGTTCATAAACACTGTTAGTTCTTTAAAAAGAATCACTAAGCAGTATGTTTAACACTAAAAGCTGGAGGGTAGGTTACATGACAGACAGCTGATTTAGTTAACTTCCATTTATTCCCTTGTGCCACAGAAAAGGAGTCAGGAACAGAGTTGCAGGGAATTTTCCACCGATCCGCAGAAAACCATTGCCTACTCAGGAGCGTTAAAGGCTTTCCTGCCTCCTGGCCCTGGCTGCTCCTGAGGAAAGGCAGTAGACTGAGGAAAGGCAAAGCCAAGACTCTTACAAATGGCGCACGACACACACGTTAGAGGAGAAGCTGTGATTTGTTCATAAACAATTTATTTTATTTCAAATATGTGCCCTTGTTGATTCAACAATGATGTCTGGAGGATCATGTCCTCCACCAACCAAAGAGAGAACTGATCTGGAAATCTTCCACCTGACTTATTTGCTGATGATACCTTGACACTGCCCCTCTCCTCCTTCTTGGCAGCTGAAAGTATGGCTCAGAGTGAGCATAAACTTGCACCTTATTCTGAAATGGCTAGAAATACAGTGAACAAAGAATTAGTAAATCAACCACTCAGGGAGGCAGAGGGCTATGCATATATAGACAAATATAAAACATCTTACTGGGCTTTTTACCCATTTTTTTTCCTTCAAGTAAGATTAAAAACCACTTTGACTTTAGGGTCCTGCTGTTCCCTCTTCCTCATTTCCTCCTCATCCCCCAACAGAAAGAAACAATTCCAGAAATGCTTGATGTTCCTAATGTTTTTTATAAACATTTAAACTCTTGTCCCTCTCCTTCCAAAAAAGCAGGTAATGTGGTATGGAGTGAACAAGACTGGACAAAGCATGAGTTCCACATGGATAAACTGCTGATTATCTCTTCTTACTATTTGGTACAGGTGTATGCTTTACATTTCCATTGACTTAGATTGTAAGATATGAAACAAGTTATTTTGGATGCTGATGCCAATCTGAGCATTAAGGAAAAACTAACAGTGCCTGGGTCCTGGTACAAGTGGTCATGGACTCATGGAAGTTTCTTGGTTTAATATTTACAGATGTTTTAAAATTATGGTCTGTGAAATGTATTTTCCAAAGATGCTCCTATATTTGAGGAAAAAAAAAAATAAAAGAACCCTTGACCAAATCCCATCTCTTTTTAAAAGTCTTGCTAAAAATTTTGATTCATCAATTTATCTTAGCACACTTAGAAGCAGAATAGAGAATAATGACATTTTTAAAAAAGGAGAAAGATGCTGATCTCTAAGGAGACCGCCGCTCTTTTTTCATAAGTAAATGACACTGAATGGTGCGGATTCGATTCTTTGCTGGGGCAAACTCCGGCTGAAGTTTTAGTGTTGACTCATACCATTTCATCGCCTTTTCAAACTCTTCCTGTACAGAAAGGAAGAAGATTTCAAAGAGTCAGATTCCAAAACCACTAAACACATACATTTTCTATGCCTTTCTTGTCCTGAGTAGTTGAGCAGTATATGGCATGCACAAAAGTAACTGAACCAATCCTTGTGGTTTAGGATTTTTCCCTCCCTTCCCCAAATAACTCTGGTATTTGCTTGGGCTAATGACCCAATTCTGCATAATCCATGGAAGGGAGTCAAACCATCACTGAGCATTATTAAACAGTGATCTTGCCTTTTCCTTGTAATAGTAGATCTTAGCATTCTTGCTGTAAAAGTAACTTTTAAAAACACATTTTAATCAGAATTTACATAGATCAGAACTTCAAAATCTTAGACAATGCAAAACCATCGACTTTTCTGAAAAGCCAACATTTTTAGAAACAACTTGAAACTCTTTTCAAAAGATTACTCCAAGTAAAGGAAGTAAAAAAAAACCCAAACCCCAAACAATACTTTAAAAGCATACAGTAGCTAGACAATTTAAACTGATAACCTGGACTCTAGAGTGGTAGTAAAAAGCCTTCATGCTGAAATACCATCTATTTTAATACAGCTGAAATCTAATTACCTACACCACCCCACTTTTTGTTAACTAGGAAAGCACCCAATACTGTATTAGAAGAAAAGTGAGGGGGGAAAAGACCCAAAACATTCTGTTTTTTTTCAGTCACTTTCAACACTGGTTTTGTTCTCGTACGTTCCTTTTCTCAGTAACTGTATATGTACAGTACAGATAATACTAATTTCTAGCCACACTATAAACTCTACCTAGAGCAATGTGAGTTGTAAAGGCTTGATTTTTTAGAAAAGTGTATTTTAATACAGTTTCAACAGGAATTACATACAAAACCCCATCTTAGTTTGTGGGAGCACTGACAAACAACAATGAAAACAAGAATCAGATTTTTCCATCTTTAGATGTAACCATGTACATTTTCTGTGATCTGATACTGTTCTGATGTTCCTTTAGATTACCACATCAATAGTTTCTATAGCATCCATCCAAAGCTCTCAGTCCTTAACACTGCCAACTCTTTCCCCCTTGTAAGGCAACTTACTAAAAAGTTTTGCAAATAGAGGAACCACGGCCTCTATAATGCTATACTGTTAATTAGCATGACATCTACAACCTTTGGTCAGTCAGCTCTCAAATACAGCAGGTTAAATATGACATAAACTACCTTGTCTTTCTGTTAGTATAATTTGATCCAGAATATAATTTTTTTTCCTATTGCTACAGTAATTTCTTATAATGAATAAGGGGCTTCATTGGGAAATCTCTCAGATCCATGGAGAGTGAAGTTATCCTTAGGCACTATGCTAACTTTAAAAAGACATTGGCAACTCAGGCATCAAACTTTACTTCTTTGCTTTCAAACAACTGTCAGAAGTAATACCTTAACAGAACAAAGCTATGCCTGTCTTCAGTTTGTTTTGGTTGTGTATTTGACAGCACTGTGCATTTCAACTCATCTCAACCCCAATAGCCATAATACGTGATCACCTCCTCAGCTTGCCCTGATCTCTGTTATCCCCTCAACCACAGGAGGAAAATATTAAGGACAAATCCACAAGTGATGACAACTGACAGGGATACATAGTAACATGTGTTACTGAAACTACTTGTGACACAGATGTATGTCATCTATGTCTCAGTTTAATGGTGCCTCTTTTAGCCTTCAAATATACTGGCCCTGTTAAAGATAAGGATGAAACACACAAGAATCAATCCAGCTTTAATAAGATAGAACGAACACTCCATGTTCAGAGTAAGCACTGAAAGCTAAATTGCAGATTAAAATACATAGACACTATGAAGAAAATCAAGTTCAATCTGTAAATTATTTTGGGTGCTGATAATCCAGATATTGAAATTAAACTTCCCTTGTGTTTGTTCACCACAGCTGTGAACTGGGTTTTATTTATTACACTAAGCTCAGCTTTTCAGGATAGAGACCAAATTTATCATTAATTTCCCAGTATTATAAAAATATCCTGTGTTTAGACAGGCAGCCAACCCAAATTATCAACTGTGTGCTACTGTCTTAAAGCTTTGCAGACAGCATTCTAACGCCAGGTTATCTTGGCCTTCAGGTACTAAATGAGTACTAAGAGTAAGATGAGTAATTAATTTTGGCATTAAAAAAAAATAAATCTTTCTTGTTGATCCTACTCCAATTTCTTGAATGCTGCTTCTTTGGAATTATATGTGAGAGTAAGATTTTAATTTTATATATATACACTGTACCAAAACCAGACATAACTGTGTGACAGCACACTCACCATTGCTACGTAGACATTTGCCAGTGTGAAATGATTAACCACGAAGTGTGGTGCTATTTCCACTGCCATGGTAGCCACAATGATGGCGTCATTCCAGAGTTTTGCATTATGGAAGATGTTCGCTAGGCTTATTAGTGGCACATCCTGGAAGAGAAGAGCAAGCGATGAACAGGGAGGTTCTTTCCATTGTGGCTGTCTCAGGACCAGCAAGACAAATAGAAGACTCCACCGCCTGGCCACTCTCACTTGGTTACTACTCACTTCACTATCTGGCGACTTTGAAAGTGATGAGCCAGACCTGTTTTACTAAAAAAGGGCACTTGGACTTGAGTAATAAACAAAAACCCGTCACATACACACATCTGCTCACAACAGTGACAAATACTACTGCTGCACAGAAAACTCAAAATTTAACTCACGTAAGTGTCCTAGTATGTACGTTTATTTTTAGATGCTCCTACAATAGTTTTCTCCCCAAATATGAGATGCATTCTCAGACACAAAAGAAGCTGTTTTGTTTCACCGTCGTCCTTCAGCTCTTGCATAAAAGGGGAAGGAATATGAACAAAAGAGGAAGGCAAGGAAGTGAAACAAAGTTCTAACCATTTGTGCAACTGATGCAGTTTGTTATCCTGCCTCTGCCACAGAAATCCTCTGTGATGCCGGGTAACAGCTATAAATAACATTTCCTCAGCTAGTCACTGATGGTATGTTTTTTATTTCCTGGATTTCCAGCCTGTGACCTTGTCTGACTGACAAAACTGGTGAGCCCTGACAGCCATAACAGACTCTCTGGAAGCTGGGCTTCACACCTTCAAAGGACAAAATACTGCTTAGTAGCAAGTCTCAGGTGCCCTTAACAGGACAATAAAAAATTCTGGATGTATCTGATCCCTGCCTCTTTGACATTCACAAGGTAAGGAGTACCTTTGGTGGATAAGTCATCCATGTTTGCAAAACAGATATTATGGAAGTCAGAATCACAAAAGAAGCCCAAAGGAAAATTAATTACCCTTTATTTACATGAGAAAAGGCAAGAGAAAGTAGCCAGAGTGCATAAAAACAAAGAGGAGGATAAAACAAAATACTAAATAGCTGTTAATTCAGTGCTAACTCTCACTGAGTTCAAGTTGCAGCTGTATCTTTACAAACAAGACCCACAGTTTTCTCTGGAGGCAGTTTCAATATGGAGAACAAAATCAAGGCACAAATTCAGAGAGTCAGCCAGTCCCAAGCAACATTATATCACATTTCTAGAAAATACCATAATTTTGCCAAATTGTAGTTACCAATCCATACTCTGACCCATTACAAATCACGCAGCCAGGGGCTCAATTTCTGAGGAACCATTCCCAGTTACATACAGACAGAAAAATAAGCAAGAGCTTGTTGAGATAGATCTTGGTTTCAACCTTGTTTAAAAAGGACAAGTGCAAAGAGACAAAATTATAGGAACCATAGATACACAGGACATGCACTGGGAATGTGCATTTGTTAGTTGAGACATTTCTACTGCTAATGGCTAAATCCTCCTAATAATACCCTGAAAGTGTAAATTACCTTGTCTCCCTATTTTCAGAGAAAGGATTTAAGATCAAGATTCCAAAAGGAGTATACATTTTGCAATGTTAATGTGAATTGCATTTATCGGTTTGCAAGTGGGAGCTTGGTGTATAAGAACATACGTTATAATGCTCAGATACCATGTGGCAAGCTGAAGCGTACAAAGCTCTTCAGTCAGCTGAAACACTAAACAGAAGATTATGTTTAAAGAACTGCCTTTTTTGGACTAAGGCACAGAACTGCTGCACAAAGTCAGGCACCAGTACCAGTGTCCAGCTGAGATTCACACCCCAAACACTTAAGATTTAAGCATTTAAGTTATTCCTTTAGATATCACCTCCTCCCCTATTTAAAAACGCAATCAGAAGATACACTTCCCTCTCTAAAAGCATAACCAGAAAATATACTACCCACATCTTAGCTTAGAAGACTTGTCCAGACAAAGACTGATGAAGATTCCAAGTCCTACATAACAGAGAAAAGTTCAAGCTCGCATTGCCCAGAGAGGTGTCAAAACCCACTAAACTGCGGGAAACTCCACGGAACCTCTCTTGCAGTTTTGCAGTCTTTTTTTTAAAATGATTATTATTATTTTAAAAGGAGACGGTCCACACTAAACAGTTGAAGAAAGTTTTGAGGTTTCACCACAATTAGCTAATATCTAATACATTATAGACACTTGGTACACAGAGTGTTGGCTTTAACAATTGTCTGTGAAAGCCCTGTTGCGACAAGAAAAACATTGTTTCATCTGAGTAATGAGCACACATCTACACACCTTCATGTGATGGGGTGCATAATGCAATGCTTGCCGTAAGCAATCAATTGCCTTCTTTCCTTGGCCTTTCACCCTCCAGTAAAGAGCTGCCATGCTAGAGAGGACCCAGGAAGTGTGATTCTGGCAAAAGAACAGAAAAATCAGTCATGTAAACAGCTGCAGCGAACAGTCTTCCTGTCTTTCAGTCTTCCACTTTGATATATTGAGGTAGAGGGTATTACACTTAAAAACAGCATTAAACTATTTCAAAGCAGCAAAACGCTTCTTATCTAACAAGATATACACATTATGCAGGTAAATGAGATTGCCAAAGGAAACAAATTCCAAATGCAACATCATTTTCTTAAGAAAGGAATAGCAGCTAAATAGATTTAAACAGCAACTACAGTTTTAGCAGCCAAAACAGCTTCTAACCAGGTGTCTGATGCTGAGTAACTAGATGTGTATACACATTACCCAACATAAAGCAAAAAATGCAGCTAAGTTAGCTGAATGGACTTGTAGGCTCTCTGTAGTCACAGGAAAGAGAAAGGATGCTCTGAGATGCAGCTCAGAGCAGAAACCTGACAAGCCTAGCTGATTAAGTTTGGTGTCTCTAGCTGGCTGACTCCCATGTCACATGTTAGAAAGGAAAATACCATGTGCTTGAATTCTGTGGGCTCAGAGACAGTAAATGAATGTTTATGCTCACATACGCAATTAGATAAGTAGCCATTTTGATTTGTTTGATTAGCTCTTGTGAATACTGAATGAGACTGGTAGACAGAAAAACTGCATTTTATTTCCAACACAGCTAGCCTTACTGAGAGTTCTGCCTCTGGTCTCAGCACTCATTTTTCAGCTTATTTGGATAAAGCTTGCTGTCTGCAGTAGGAACTGTAGCACGTAAGAGAAAGAGATAATATACATCTAAAGTGAAAAGAAAATAAGTCTTGTAAATAGTGTAAGAGTAACATCTTTACCTTCTGGGAATGACAAAGCTAGCACAGTACGTTCCTCAGATGGCTTTCAGAAGAATACGCTAGGGGCACTAAACTGTTTTGCTGAGCCCTCTTTTCTATAGTAGTTTGGGATACTCTTGTCTGTAGCTGTAAACATATAACAATCCCTGAATTCTCATCTACCTCATAGATCCTGGGAAAATTATGTTCCTCATCATCTTCTCCCAAGGACCTCAGCTGAGGTTCTTATCAGCCTTAATCTAGCTAGGATGCTTGTCTTTCTCTGGGGAGAACAGGAAGTGCAGCCTTGCACATAGTGCCATACCTCCACCTGAACGCATCTGATACTTCAGCCCAACACTGCATAAAGTAAAAGGAAGTAAGCAGAGAAGAGAGGAAGCCCCTGTCTATTAGCTGACTGCTGCATGCCAGGAGCGTGACTGGAGAGTTGAGCCATGGTTTAACTCAGCTTTCCATAAGCTCCAAGTCAATGGTAGCACAAAAAGAAAGAGGAGAGATGAGAACTGTTGAAATAGTTTCATTTATAGCAGCAACCAGCAACACTGCTCACTACAGGGCTGGAAACATTGGAAAATTTGACAAACTTAGGTTTTAGTAGAGATATATGCAAGACACTTGACAGTGTAAGCACAAGAAACAAATAAATACCAGTGAGGGCATTACAGATGCTGAATAGACACAAATCCCTATTCCAAGTACTGAGATATTCCTTCACTGGTATTTCAGACAAACTGAACTGGATTGACTATGTCAGGCGTCTATGTCCAGACTTTGTGTTTTTCTCATTTACACATACCTTTTCCAAAGCTTTGGCTATTCGAGTACCAACTTGTTCTAATGACTGTGGTGAGTACTGGTCTTTGCCAAGATTCTGGAGCACCTGTGGAAGAGGGAAGACAAGTGCTTAGATGCTGGAACCTGGTAAGAGATGTCCCTCACTTGTTGGTTGCTTTTTTTCCCCAGCCTTCTACAAACATTGCAACCTGTTCCAACCTAAACATCACTGTCTTATTTTGAGTTAATACCGTCTGTATCATCACAAAGTGTTATAACTAGATGGCACTGAATATTAAGAATGCCAGAAGTTTATGTATGTTCAGCTAGACTTTTCTTTCACTAATTCCCCATCAAGAGCTATAATTACAAAGACGTAAATGGTGTTTTAGGATTTCCCTTAGGCCAGATCATAGATGGCTGGGAAAAAATTCTGATAAGGCATCGCTTTCAGCTTGCACTGTTCTTACACTTTTAACCAGGCATTCACTCACTGAAGGTCACTTCTGGAGACAGGGCACTGAGCTAAATGCACCTTGAATATGCCGTGGTATGGCCACTTTTGTGTGACAGCCTTCAGCTCTGGCCTACCTCTTTCAGTTGACTTTCCCCAGTGTAATGCAAGCTGGCCCGACTAGAGACACCTTGCAGGTGGTCCAAAGTGTGCATACTGGCTGGTAGATTTGGGTTGCAAAGGGGCTCCATGGCTGGTTCTTGGAGTTGTGTGGCAAAATCAATGTGTTCTGTAATGCTATAAAGGTCATAAAACAAGTTGAATCAGTCACAAGATTCACTACAGAAGAGTGAATTCACAAAGAGAAGAGTCACTGCAAAGTTCCCTAGTGAGTATAAACTGCCCAGAACCTGGCAGAATCTCATTTGAGTAGATCAAGAAGTAAGAAAGAGTGGATCTTCCGTCTGCACTTGCACTTTTCCTTGCAAGTCTATTGACGAAACAATACATAATGTTTTCAAACTTCTTTGAAATCCTGGTAGTTCTTTCTTATTTTAAAGAACACTAAAATCTTCAGTTTATGCAAACTGAAGGCCCTGTAACTGTCTTGGCTTTGTGTGAGTAACTTATTTAAGGTTCATGTACAAGATACTTACTCAATGTTTTTAGCAGAAACAGCAAGCCATGTGCTGGCTACAGTTGTAAGCTCCACCCTACGGAGTTTCAGGCATTCATCAGGACTTGGCCAGCCAAGGCTACGATAGTCGCGCCTTTTCCCTTGAGAAAGGAAAAAAAAAATAGCAGAAACTGCCTGGAAGCAGAAAGACATTCTACTTCAGTACAATGATTTACAAAATACTTTATGCCAGTGGATACATTCCCTGTGTTACAGAAGTCACAGTCCTAAATGCACTTAATGAAACTTGGGTTCAAAGACAGAACTGGATCCTACGCAGGACAGAAAAGGAGGCAAAGTTTTAAAATCTGTTTCATTACACTTGTTCAATAGCTACAGATTAAGAACATTTGCCACTCTTGTTTACAGGTAAGGTCTCTACTTAAATGTCCTTAGAGAAAGTTCATAAGTGACTCATCATTTAAGTTCTCTAGCTACAATAAAAACAATAAAGGTTGATTGCTCTGTCTTGTGACAATCCTAGGTGAAAAGAATACTGCCATTTCTTTTCAGTGAATATTGTTTAATGCGGACAGTGGCTTTTACTGCATTCTTACACTCAAGACAGCAACATTTCTGAAACTATTAAGCGATTACAATTCAGCCTTCCCATTTTGCAGAGAAGTTAACGGAGGCAGGGCAAGGTTAAATAAACTTTATTTATGTTAACACATAGATCACTGGGAGAAACAAGAGCCTGATCTTCACATTTGAACCAAAGCCTACTGAAATCTTTCCCTTACATTTGGTGGATACTGTACCAAGGCCTAGGAATCCAGCTTGTGCTGTCAGAAAACATTTCCCTCTGATATCAGAAACATCTGAATTGACTGGAATGTAAGAAACATTCACTGTAGCCATAAATTTGCACAGTGGGAAGCCAGGTTTAACAACGTGCCAGTCTATCGTACCAGCTATGTAGGCAGTATTTCAGTATTCATTTCTAGTTACCTGAAGTTTTGCCCATTTGGATGCAAATCCTATTTCCCATCCAAGGTATAGTAAAAAGTTTCACCATAATTTTTCAAAATAAGGATGAAATAATACCATGTCTTTTATAAAGTATTCTGATTAAAGGGAAATTAACTTCAAGAAACACTGGGAAACTTCAGAGAGGAATGATCAGGGGAGCTCATCCCCACCACTGTGAACCACCTGATTGAGAGTTCTTATTTGTATGAATGACAAAATATAGCAAGGGGTATCGAAACGCTACACAGAGACAGTTCAGTAGTCTGAGTGGTAGTCAAACACAGGACAGCTAGCGTCATTTCCCTGTTCTACCAGAACCTCCCCAGGTGACCTCCAGTACATTGCATAAACTTTTGATGATTTAGTCCTTGCAAAGAGAATGTCAGCAAATCCTGCCTCACAGGAGTGCTAGGAAGAGAGAAGAATCATTGAGGAAAGGACAGGAGTGTGCTCACAAATTACAGTCTGTTTTCATGTAATTCCCCCTGCTTCTCCATTTTAAATATTTAATTCAGTAACTTGCATTTGTCAGTTGCTAAAAAAGGAGCTTGTTAAAGATTTAATGTAAAACCCTTCAAAATGTGAAATCCCTTTCCAGGTCATCAAATCATAAAGGACTAAAATGTATTGGAGAGCACATCTTTGCCTGCACATCAGCCCTATGACATTAGGATTTTAGTTCCATTGAAATCAAGGAAAGACAAAAAAGTATGGGGGCCAAGAACTTCGGTTCTCTTCTTTGGCATCATTAGATTCTAGCAGCTCTACATTTCATCCCAAGCAATCACATGCTGATGATTTATGTTCACCTGAACGCACCAACGGAATTAGCTTGCACCACAGTAATAGACTACTCTCCAATTCCTGTTACTCAACTAGCAAAAACTCCAGCTCTCTCTCCAAACCTCCTCATCTATGTTGGTGCAATACTCTACTCTTCTGTAGCTTCAGTCTTCTGGAAGACAGTCTCTAAGTTTTCTCACATAGTATTGCCAAACCAATTATAGCAGAACACTTAAATTTTTAAATTTATTTTATTTTTATTAGACCAAGCTTTCTGCTTTTTGTTTTTGAGTTGTGTGTCTTGTGTTTAGGCAGTAATCAATTCAAGCTCTCAACCTGCATTTATCCCTGAAGCTGCCTCTCTCATCTGATAAACTAACTTCTCTGCCCATTCTGATCTAAAGATCATTAAAACCCCCTCTCTCTTTTACTACTTCTACTCAGAGTATCTACTTCTTTCCTTCTCTGCTCTTTCCACCTCATCCCCAGAAGCTCTGGGAATTAACTAGAAGGTTTTCATTCAGCAGATAAAATTATATTTCACTTCGTGGAAAAAGGATGGATGAGATTTCCAATTTTTCCAGTTACTCATCCAGAAGGCATGTTTCACTAGGTAGTCTTTGTGACACATTTACAGCAATAAACCAGTGTCATATAAAAGCTGCAAATGAAATAAACCATAGTAATGCAAAAACTGCAAATGACTTGCTTTCTCTAGAAGCAGCAGGTTACCTATTGGTCCAGGAGAAGGTATCTTTGGTCCACTGATCTCCAGGGCAGTTTGGTAAAAGTTTTCATTTTCTCCATTAGCCCCTTCTTCCCTGTTTCTCCCAACTGGCTCCTGGAGATCCAAGCTTTCAGCTTTTGGTTTCTTTAAACGTTTGACCTGAAAAGTGATCTATCAAAAGAATAGCGTTAGCACGGTTAACAGTAAGAAACACCATGAACATTATCAGCTACAATACACTACTTGTCTAAGCCCAAAGATTCAATTTCAAACACTTTACAGACAGGATCTTCCTCTCTCTCTCCCTCCCTCCCCATCTCAACCCATTCCCTAAGCCTGCTCACTTTCACTGCATCACATCATGCAAACAAAGTACACAACTTCAATCTCCAACATAGGAGAAAACCAACTTAACTGCTGGAGAACTGAAAGGCATTTTTATTACATGCTTTGTTTGTAAGATGATGACAGTAGATATTTGATTGTTTTCATGCTAACCAAAACTTTTGGTTATAAACTTTTCTCCTTTGTAACTGTGCACAAGAAGTTTGAAGATATCCAGCATCATTCAATAGCCTGTTCAATAGTAGCTCTTGCTACTGATAATTAACACTTATGGTATCACTTTTAGTGATGCAGAGGCCTTTCCTTTAGAAGATGGATTGAAACTAGTTGTTCATTTCACACAAGCCATAAAACAGCTCTTTTAGGCCCATAGGGGAAGCTCCTCTATATAAATATTCCAGTGTTAAACCCCTGAACTGTCCTCTTTTCTTTCCCTCCTTTGCAACAGTAAGTTGGTACAAGACTTAAGTGAACTCATCCAAACTTACCCATTCAGCTTCATCATCATCACCACAGTCCCCAAAACAGGAACTAGCCAGTCCATCCTGAGATCCCTTCTTTAGGACCCGAATTCCCTGCAAGTCCATCCGATGACCTTTTACCTCCAGCGCCCCTTCAAAAGCTTCCTGAGGCCAAGAGTTTTCAAACTCATCCACCAAAGCCAGCATCTCTTCAGACATCTGATCACCTTCTAAACCCTCTATTCCTTCTGAACCGTTGCTTTCTGCAGTGACTGTGTCTAAGAAGGAACACCATAAAAATTTCAAAAAGTTTTTTCTTGCTGCTTCCACGAATTGTAGAAAAAGGATCTTTTTTTTTTCTGTGACCTGACTTTTCCACTCACACAAACCAAATATCACTGACTGCACACTGCAAATGGAGAGGGAGACTGGAGAATGCAGACTTCCTCATTGCAAGTAAGCATCAACTGTTGCTTCAGAAATCAACACCTTCAGATCACTTTTATCAGTTTTCTTTCCAAACCAGCATTCTGCCTGTTTCAGGAAGTAAATAGGTGGTGTCTTTTAATACATACTTGCATTAAACACTGACTAAAGCTCTCTGTAGTTTAACCACAGACACTGTTTTTCTTGCCTTGTATTTGGCATAGCTGATACAGAATTCACCGAGGTACAACCAACATGTGTTTGTAGACTCATGCAAGAAACAACATTCTTTAGCTTTGGAAATGTCTAAACCTTGATCTCATCTTTTAATTGAATGCATTTTGATGTTATCCTTGGAGGAGGACAACAGTGAAAAGAATGAAACTGGTTTTAAGGGTTACTTGTCGCTTTACAGACAGAGGAGGGGGAAAGTAGCTTCTTGGAGGAAGGAAGAGAGTTCTGAAAAATCTAGCAACTGATTTAATTACCAGCATTCATTTTGTAAGGCTGACTTACTTTCCAGTCTCAAGAAGGAAGGATCCCTTGCTGTACTCTGAGTAAGGATTTCTGGATCTTCTGTACCTTCCTCAGAGTGTCCCTCTGCCACTGCAGTAACTGTCTCATGGTGGTCAAAGTATTTCTCCTTGTCATGACTGCCATCTGGATTCCTCTCATGACAGTGGCCTGAAAGAGAGAAATTTATGGATACACCACATAAGACTGGTCCTCCTGGATATGTGCAGAAGCTGTACTGTGGAAGCTACAGTCTTCTAGTTTTCTAGATACGGATTAAAAGAATACTTCTACTACTTATCAAAGACTTCATTCAGTGATTAAAAAGCTGATCAGCCTCCTGACAAGACAGATCACCTGTTCCAGGAGATAGATCAACAGTTACATGAAACAACGTTACTGGTATACACTATTAACTGCTAATGAGAGAAAACTCGGATATCTTTTGAGAGAAGGCTGCACAGTACATAGGAAATTCCTGTGTTCTGTTAGCCACTCCAATGAGCATTCCCAAGACGTATTTTTAGTAACACTGCACCAGAGGTGGAGGTTGCCTGCCACATGAGCTTCACTTAGACACCATAATGGTCACCATGCTTATGTGCAGTAGAAAAAGGGCCAAGGCAGACTGACGTGGGATAGCCAGGCTCTGACCTTCTGTGCCAGGAACAGATGGTATGTAAGTAAGACTAGCTTACTAAATCGACAGACAAAAGCTACAAGTATTAATCCATGCTAAAAATCTGACTGTTTATTCAGTTGAAAATTTAACACCTATAATTCTGTAGTCAGGTTACAGGCTCACATTCCACCAAATGCAAAGAACTAGAAATAACATTGGAAAAATCCAAGTAGAGCAAGTAACGAGCAGACATACAAAAAAAGTGCAAACATGCAACACTAGCCTTTGAGCATCCTTCAGTGAGAAACTGTTAAGCTTTCAGAATGTAAAGGACCGCCACCTGCAACTTTGCAGTATTATTTCTGATCTCAAATACATTTTAACTGAAGAGCTCAGATTTTCTAACAATAATTACTTGCCAGTCTTCCAGGGTGAGAGGTGTTTAGATACCTGCTCCCCTGGCCGACCCTAAGAGATGCACAGGTAGAAACAGGATTGTGCACACATGAGAGAAGTTGGGAGCTGCCCCAAACCCCACTGCACAGCTACAGGGCCAAGACACCTGCCTATGGTCACAGGGGAAGCCTGCCACCACAGAGGAAAAACATATTCTGTGTACAAAGCTGCTGCTCTCAAACCCCTCCCTCCTTTATTTCAATCACTTATGGGTGAAAACAGTGTATGTATACAAATGAATTAAGAAGCACACAGCAGATCAAAGAATATTTAAATTAAATGCAAGATTCTCAAGTATGTTCCCCATTCTACTATCATGAATGCAAATTGTCTTGCTCTGTGCATATGGAAAACATTGTTTTTTTCAACTGGCAGCATAAAATATGAAGAATGTGAATAAAGTAGATTAGTGACTCCTTTCTTCTCCATGCAATGATCCTGTGTTACAGAAGAATCTCACTCTTTCATCAAGGTTGTAACTCTCATGTAGGAGTAACCTGTTCCACCACTTCTCAGCAAAGTGAAACTACAGCTTTTTCCTGTACGGTCTCTACTTTTGCATCTGTGAACACTCAGGTGATGTCTTGGGAGGAGAAAGAGAGCAGTATTTTCTGGAGGAGGAGGTTGTCACCAAAATAAAACAAATAAAACTATATTCGTAAACCCTCTGTGAAAACTACTTCTTGCCTTACCTTTACTGCTGTACATCAAAAAAATAAAACCATGTAATTTTATGCGTAAATATTTAAAACAGAAGCAGTTAACTTCATAAACTCCTCTAACATCTGCCATAAAGTTATACTCTGTCTTTCCTACTCTATCAGTCGTTGAGTCTTGCTTTAATCCCCCTCCCACTTCCCCCATGCTGTCAATAAAAAATTAATTGGTTTCATTAAAAAAAAAAATCACTTCAATATATGGAGAGTCTCATGTTTAATTTATGAGAAATGGTGCACAGAACCCTAAAGCTGAAACCAGTCCCCCTGCCTGACATCAAACCAGCCCAATTTTGATGCAAGTCAGGTGCTTCTCAGTAATGCGATGACTGCAATTCCCTTTGCTGAAGGTCAACTCATCATTAGTATAAAGAAAAAAGCAAAGAAGCTGAAAAACAGATGACTCTTTCCTAATTGAAACAAAAAGGCCAAAAAGAGAAAAAACTTGGAAATAGCAAGCAGAAGGGGAAAAAACCATGAAGGCACTTATAATTCTACTTAGGACCAACTCTGTTAATATTAATTTACAAACACTGACAGCTAAAAACAGATTAGATGAGAGCACCAGCTTTCTTGGGATCTGAGAGCTGCTATATATAGAAACCTGAGTGGCCTATTTTTTCAAATTGCTGCTTTCAGTTGTCTGAAGTCACAGGAGAAAAAAAACCAACTGGTTGAAAAACCACTGGAAGTCCAAGATCTCTGAGGAGCACACTGTGAAGCTGGTAGTACTGAGACACTGCAAGTCAGAACTTCATAGCTTGTACCAGCCCTATGCCAGTACCAAGGCCAATGGGAAAGACCACCACCAAGAGTGTGAGACCAGCAAGGGAACAACATAGCCCCAAAACTCCTGGCACTTCATTGGCTGCAGAACATTAGTTATATCCTTGTAATACTTCCACCACCTAAGCTGTGTGAAGGATGACAGTGACTGTCAGCATACAAATGCTCAGCTATGTATTATCACAGAATATTAGGAGTTGGAAGGGACCTCGAAAGATCATCCACTCCAACATCCCTACCAGAGCAGGATCATCTAGATGAGGTTGCACAGGAACACATCCAGG